AACCATTTAGACCTGCTCAACCCGTCGTAAATGTTCACAACTGATGGTCAGACTGGAGCTCTTCTGACCAAGAATCCTGTAAAATCACGTTCTGAAACACTTTGTATGTGGATATATCCTTCTGAATGTTCTTTACTAAGTGACCCGTGAAGATCCGGTGTAGAATAGGTCTTCAGCAACCCATGTGCTTGCCATAAAAGGCGACTATGCTTGTCGTAAGAGGCGACTAACGGGATCGGGTGGTCAGTTTCGCTGAATTGGTTGACACATGTCATCGGTTCCCAATTGCGCAGATCGATGCTCATGCTGTTGATCACTGGATTGTCTGGTCCAGACTCGATTATTTACAGACCGCCGCCATATAACTTGGATATTGCTGAGTGTGGCGTAAAACTAAACTCACTCACTCTTTATTCAGTCATGCCTACTGCATTGGTCATTTTACTTGTGGTGATTCTGCAATTGTCCATTACCACATTCTATTACCAATATGTTCCTTTAGTATTGGCAGTTGAAGTTATGCATGATTTTGGATCATCTTCTTGTCCCTCTCTTCCTCTCATAACTCAGCTGCTCACCTCTTAAGAGTGACAAAGGAGGCGGCATCATGCTCTAAGCCTGACATCATGTCGCATTAGCTCTTTCAGATGAAGATTCTTGGTGACAGCACGGTAGCCTACAGAGAATACCTAGCCACTTTGATGCCTGCAGAAATATTCTAAATATTCTGCTGGTTGTGTATCTGGTTCGCAAGCAGCCTGTGATCATAGAAATTGTTGCTCTTTTTACATGAAGCACTGCGAGTGCTGTATATCCTTTGAGGTACTCTGCACATCCTTTCTGGTTCTCATGTAGAAGACGGCGTGTACAAGTTGATATTACACTATCCCAACACGAGCTGAATTCGACGTTCTGGTGATTTCGACAATTGCATTGCACGCGCTATATCGGGGGAGTACGTGTGCGATCGGAGTGCACAAACAGTTTCATCGGTAGGGCGGGTGCCCATTGGCTGTCGTGAGAAGTTTTATTGGCAATGGAAATCGGGAAGTAAAGTTATATAAAAAGCAAACAAACATCAATATTATTTACCCGAGGTCCTTATTACCACTTACGGTGCAAAATCAGTTCCCTTTATAACAAAACATAGCAAGCGAAAATTCAGTTTGATCAGTTGGTGACAGGCAATATATAACTAGGAAGCCACGTGATCACAACACTACCTCGCAGTGCGGAGCAAAATGTATGGCTCATCGTCGAAAACCCATACAAAATACCCGGATGTTACGAGCCGCAACAGTTTCATCGATACGATGTCATCAACGCTCTTTTTGTAGGGAACACTTGATATTTTTGTGTGAAATAGATGAATATATCCTTTATCACTCAAGGTTAGTAAAATACAAACTTTAAATGATATAACAGATGAAAAATACGTTTTTGTCTTACATCGTCGAAAACCCCTGACACCGGGATATTTCAGTTTCCAGTGGAACTGATAATCAGTTTAAAACTTAACAGTGTCACCTACTGCATGTACTCTATGATCACCACAGGCTTAAATACAACACTGAAACTGGCGGGTCATAATTAATAAAACCAGGAATGAACATGTTCCGTGTATGATAAATTACTGTGTCATGACTGAATATATTTGTTTCAGCCATAGTTTAGGTAATGAAAGCGACCAAACCATTTCCACTCCAGAAGACATCCATAGTACGATTGCGACTATATCATATTCATGTGTTTATTAATCACTGTCAAATTATGATCTTGATAGCAGAGGGGCGGTGGGATAGCCAAGCGCTTAACGCGTTCGTTCGTCACACCAAAGACCCGGGTTCGATTCCCCACATGTGCACAATGTGTGAAACCCATTTCTGGTGTCCCCCGCTGGAATATTGCTAAAAAGCGGCGTAAAATTAAACTCACTCACTCACTGATAGCTGGCAAAGTATGTTTTCCCCGACTCAAGTCATACTTTGCTGACATTACCCAGCACTTACCAGTGACGCTTGACTGTTAAGTTTGTTGAAAGAGACACGTACTTTCTGTTTTCCAAACTGATTCAATCAACGGCAGCACTGATCCACCTAAACCGATTCCCCCATCGAAAACACGTTACAAGTACATGGGTTGTATGCAAGTATTTATTATACCAGTGAGGCTTGTCTTGCCCAAGACATCGCACTGAGCTGTTCCTAATGTTTCTTTTGCCTGAGGAGAAATATACCCAATTACATTGGATCGATCTAGGCGTCCGTCTCGAAACTAGTCTGCCAACAAGATCATTCATAGACTCTTCTCACCCAGCCTATATTGTCACTGGACAAATTCCTGTCTCAGAATTGCTTCTTAACTGCCATTATCACACACTGAAGCGGACCAGCGAAGACATTTACTTGATTTCACTGTACTGTTCGAATACTTGGCATCCGACGCGTAGGCAATAGAAGTTTAAATGAAACTGGTTCTGCTAACACACGACAACATGCAATTTCAGAACATTACAATACCTCACAAAATGAATCTATTCAAGTGTTGAATAAAATGTACAATTCAAATATTCAAAAATGAATAATGATAGAGAGGGTTAAAAACATTTAGCACTACAAATTGCAACTCCGCTGCAGTAATACCACTCCTGTTGCACCAGTCGTTTAATGATAATGAAGTAACAATTCCCAGTGCTCCGTTTTCTCTTAAGTTGATGTGTATTCGAGAAATGGAAGACATCTTGCGTATAAAATTTGGCCACAATCAGTTTGTTCAAATCTAATATAAGTTAAAAAAACCTATAATTACGAAGTTTGAATATGTTAAGGACAAGAAACCTGATTAAGTGCTTAGAAATGGAATATGACATTCAACCACAAAGTAAACCAATTGCATACATGTGGCAATGAAATGTAATAATCTTTTAACAGATTTCATAAGTTGACTTAATGACAGGACATTGTCAGAATGTGTAATGTATACAATTGATCAAGCAGATGTGAAAATTACTTAGCAACCGGCTTCTACTTTCTTTCTCTGGGCACAACTGTGAATAATCGTTCACTGTTTTAGTACCCTCGATAACAAATTACAATGTACTTTACCAGCGGGACATGCGAAACCAATACCATCTGGAGAATGATTTGGAAACAAGAATGCTGATCACCACGGGATTAAGGCCGTCATGTACAGTGCAAATATGCTGCGGAAAATGACAACTAAATCTGAAATAATACTCGCATTAGACGAAAAAGAATTGGAATGAAACAAAACCTCTTGAAACATTGCTAAGCTCATATCTTGTATGAATACTTAGAACGCGCGAGCCACATAAACTTGATACCGATACCTAATAAAAAATTAATAGTCTTTCAAACGGATATAGATGAACAATGTTTCTACCATGCTGGTTACCTAGCAACATGTTAATATAGCAGTTCAATTACCCCAGTGCTCACGGAACGAGAAAATACAAACCATGGAGAAGATATAACGACTTATTGACCGATATACAAGATTTTGTTACAAAGGTCATATGTGTTTCTATTTATTTTGAGTGACTGATACGGGTCGAATCTTTCGAGGAGACCGAACTGTTTATCGTCGCACCAATTAAAGGGTGGTCTCATAGCAATAGGGGCGGTGGGGTAGACTAGTGGTTACATCGCTCGCTCGTAACACCAAAGACCCGGGTTCGATTCCCAACCTGGGTACAATGTGTGAAGCCCAATTCAGGTGTCCCCCGCCGTGATATTGCTGGAATATTGCTAAAAGCGGCGTAAAAACTAAACTCATTCACTCACTCTTATAGCTATAATTGAATAATACATTCCATCAGTAACCCAGTCCTCTATGAAAATGAACAAAAGATTACAATCACCTTTGCTTTTGTTGTCATGGTGATTTAAACTTCTGATGCTGAATCACATGTCATTAATTAGAATAATTAGAATTACGCTGCTTCGATGCATTCGGTTACTAATTTGCTGATAATGCTACTTTGTGTTTAGCGATTTTATTCCTCAATGACTGACGTTCGTATTTGTTCATTGGATTATCTCCATGTGGATTGCAATTGGCGAGTGTTCTAGATTTTAAATATTTATAAGCTCTTATTTTGTCTTAATACAACAAACGCCACATGGGAATTGGGAGCAACGGCCTTTATGAAATGCCCTAGACATTTATAACATAAATAAATTTAATAGAGATTGCCTTTTCCAGAACCAATATTACTCAACCCAAATACTACATGGAATATAAATGGAAGTGATTGATTGCATTATATAAGAATTGTGTGCAAAATGCATTTCTCCCACCAAATCAATTCAAGTTAATGGGATTGTTTGTATTGGACGCACGCAATAGCAACATTTCTGTATATTTCTAATCTACAATATGGGGGCAATGCATGTATATTTTAAAAATATCCTTCTTAACAACACCCGTGAAGACCCGGGTTAGAATTGGTCTTGAGCATCCCAGGCTTGTCGTAAGAGGCGACTAACGGGATCGGGTGGTCAGGCTCGCTGACTTGGTTGACACAATTGCGGTTCCCAATTGCGCAGATCGATGTTCATGCTGTTGATCACTGGATTGTCTGGTCCAGACTCGATTATTTACAGACCGCCGCCATATAGCTGGAATATTGCTGCGTGCGGTGTAGAACTAAACTCACTCACTCACTCACTCAACCAGGCTCGCTGACCTGGTTGATAAATGACATCATATCTCAACTCCGCAGATTGATGCTCATGCTGTTGCCCACTGGATTTTCTGGTCCAGATCCGATTATTTACAGACCGCCGCCATATAGCTAGAAAATTGCTGAGTGCGGTGTTAAACAGCAAACCAAACCAACCAAAGTTTTCGTCTTACCTACATTGCAACATTGCTGTCCACAGGTGAATTTGTATTCCTTTGATATTTGCATTATAATGTCTGTCTCCGCCATACTGTTTCTAAACATGTGTTTTCTCATGAACCTTCTTGCATCGCAGGTTGTTTAAAACCAACTCCGAACTCAAGGCCTTGTTTACAAGCTTTGCAATGCTCGACGTCGAGGACGACCTGAGGGAAAACGAGGCTCTAGAGCACCACGCAACTCTTGTCATGACGACGCTGGATGACGCCTTTTCTCGTATAGATAACTACAGCTACGTCACGGAGGTCCTTCTAAAGACGGGAGAGTCCCACAGAAGATTTAGCGCATTTAGATCAGAGATATTTTGGGTAAGTAATCCGCAGGTAATCTTATTCATTATCCCATTTAGTGCTATTAAGTAGACGCCTTATATGTTTCTGAGATTACTTGGTAAACATTTAGAGACCCATGTGGAGGATTGAGTGAGTGATTGAGTGAGTGAGTGAGCTAACATTATAGTAACACCGGCAATGTTTCAGCCATATCGTGACTAAAACGATAAAATTCATTTACTGATAATAGATAGAGTTATACTATGAAATCTGTCGACAAAGGTCATTAAAATAACTAGAGTATCACAGATAGAGAGTTAAAACTAATATGGAACTTTAACATTAAACCTCTGTTATGGACAACACAATACAAAAACAGCAACTGCCCGTGTTGAAGACCTTTATCAAGAATCGAATAATTGCTTTTGTACCGTTTGTTTATTATATTGCGGCGCTTTCGCCACAATTTCAACTATATGAAGTGGATCTGTATAAAATCGAATCTGGTTCGAACATTGTAGTGATTGATATCATGAGCATCGCTGTACGCAATCGGGTCACGATAATGACATGGTTCAGTCAAGTCAGCGGGACTTACAGCTTGATCATGATCTATTTAGTCGCCTCATGCAGCAAACATGAGTTTGGGGATACATGCGGGGCGGTTGTGTAGCCTGGTTGTTACGATTCCCAACATGGGTACAGTGTGTGAAGTCCAGTTCTGGTGTCCCCCGCCGTGATATTGCTGGAATATTGCTAAAGGCGGCATAAAACCACACTCAATCACTCACTACAATGTACATGCAAAACCCAGAGGCGAAGTTTTGCACCCAGTTATTTGACCGCCATGCACAGAATTAATTAATAGTAAATGTCCTGATTAAATCTTAAAGCATATTTTCTCCATTTCACAGTTTGGATTATGTCATAGAGATTTCATATTGTACGTTAACATCATTTGGTTAAAGGTGCCGTTGGACACATGTGCCTTTATGTCTTAATACAGTTTATAAAATGATATAAGGCATACTATTACTCAGATTCGGCACTTCTGAAATACTAAACATGTAGTTTTGCCTACCAGTTTGCCCGTGAAAGACCTTCTTCTTTTAACTTATTTTATCAGGAGCTTGACAAACTCAACACACATTGCACAAATCAATTTAAACATGCCTTCTGCCTGGTGGCCTGCCATGTGGTGTTCATTTTGGCTTGATGACGAAATGCCAGTCGTCGCCCAATCGTCTAGGGGGTCGCAATTCGCTATATTTAGTTGCTGCCCTTGGGACCAGCAACCAACTGGGGAACAGCAACCAATTGTTGTAGTGAGTTCGAATTCCTGTTCGGTTATGTTCCGAGATTTGGCAGCACCATGGTCAACATGCCCATCATGGGTGTCATCACAATGATAAACATTCTGAGAAGTGCATCACTTTAGGCATTACACTAACACTATGCTACCACGGCGAGATACAACTGGAATGCTATTCACAGCAGCGTTTAACCAAACAAACTCATTCACGACACATTCTTACAAAAATCAGCTCTTGAGCCATGGCTTAGTGTATCGTATTATTTTCCATTCCTGACAAAACAATTATCTTACAGATTATTTTCAAGAATACTCTCTTTACCAACACGTTCAGTAATCAGAGCTCGCTAATATCCATGAAGAAATCATACAAGTTGTACACGCTCACGTAACATGCCGTACTTTCACGGAGTTGTATATTCTGTGTATGTACGTCAATACAACACAGGGTGTTTGTCATGTCGGAGATGTAACATTACCTGACAACACAGAACGTTATGGCATATGTTATATGTTAGTTGGAGAGTGTTACGCGGCTTACAATTGTCATGGGGATGGGGCTCTGTCTTAGTAATCACGACTGTATCAATGGGATGTGTGTCATAATCCTTCATTCATGCCAACCGCTGGCAATACATCTGTCGACCAGAGCTGAGAGGTTTGTCATCAATCCATGCAGGGTTTACTGACTGGATTTACAACCCCATTACGTTTCTCTCCTGCCACGATGGGTTCTGTTTAAAACAGGTTAATAACACTGGGAGGCATGTTTATCACCGTCGTTGATATCAATATGCACTGTTTCGCCGGATATCTACGAGGCTTTTAGTTTTACAGCGCGATTTACCGTTTCTTTTGACGTAAACACATATGCAGGAAGCCACACACGGCTTTGCGGTATTGCGCCATTATCGACATAATCACATTACAAAAATACGAGGCAATGAACGAATGTTCCGATAGTGTTAAAACAAACAGGAAGACCTCATAAGTAATCAACGAGATTATGGAGCAATTGAGATGCTCTTGAGTTGTAAAAAGGTATCATTTTCACACATCATATGACGTCATGCTTAGATAACGGCTTGTATAAATCACATTGGGAACGGAGCGCTGAAAAGACATATCCATGTTTGTTCGCGAACCGTCATAATAATGTCCAATTATTATCAAAGCACAGTTTGATAGTTTATATAACACTGCATACACAAGTTAAGCTGGGTTATGTATAGCACCATTCTACGTTGATATGGTTCCATTCTTAGCATTACCGTCGCTTTAGTCAAAGACTTAAGTTCCCCTTCGTCTCCTCCACTGTTCCAGAATTGATTTTCGTGACCGACTTCCAACCAATTTCTCGGCTCCGGGATTTGATAATAGTGGTAATGCAGCGGGCGGTTAAACCACTATCTAGGTCAAGCAAACATACTTGCTCATGCTTTGAGAAGCTCAAACTTTGGTTATGAATGGTGAACGCTCAGTAAATTTGCCGTGTAAGATCAATTAATTTATTATGAAAGGCCAGTGATTTTTCAGGCTGCAGTAATCCTGGATTGTGAAATCAAACGAAAATAGTATAAAGGACATTTAACAGGCAGACATTTTATTGATAATAAGTACTTGATAATGCTTTGGAAAAAGATCCTGTCGTTGAAAATAGATTTACAATTATAAGATTGAATAATGAAGATATAATTTGGCACAGGGTGCTACACAAATAGTGCAAAAGTTTGAATAAAGAAAGATAAATAATATGCGAGACGAGTGAGTGAGTGAGTTCGGTTTTACGCCGCTTTTAGCAATGTTCAAGCAATATCACGGCGGGGGACACCAGAAATGGGCTTCACACATTGTACCCATGTGGGGAATCGAACCCGGGCCTTCAGCGTGACAAGCGAACGCTTTAACCACTAGGCTACCCCGCCGCCCCTTATGCGAGACGAAGTGATATCTTTAACTAGTAATGATCTACACAAATTGATAGAATCTATTCATGATTATAAGATCTGATCGATTGGATGTTTCATAAATACTTTCATAAATCTTGATTGCTGATAAATAAGACTTCTAACAATGTATCTTATGTTTCCGTATTTACTTGTACATGTATTTATTTATGGGAGCGGCCTTCAAATAAGCTCCTCGGAGCTTGGTCACCAATCCATTCATATTTTCATGAATAGATATGTTTAAACCAACTAGTGGTAGAAAAACGTTTTACCTAGATAGGATTATTGTTGACAATTTACCATAGTCCCGCAATGCCTCATAAGTCAGAAAATAAACTCGAATAAGATAGCGTAGGTTGATGTATAAATTGTTTGAATAATGAAGTTTTAAAGATGTCAGCAGTACAATAAGATACTTAAACTAGCATGCATCACGTTTTATTTCTTGGTGTGTTTTTTGTTTAATTGTTGTTGTTTTTCATGAAAGATGAATGCCGAAAGTTTCAATGAGATAACATGATATTTCCAACCAGTTGGAGATAGAAGCTTTGGCGGACTTTTTCACAAAAGACACTTTACCACAATCTAATTCTAACACAGCCGTATCTCCTAGACATGGGATGAAATGAAACACACAAGATGCCAACAACACAACTAGATTTCAAGGAAAAAAAGGCAGCTGTCTCGGGAAATATGCAGCTGTCGAGGGATATATCGTATCTGGTAATCAGTCCCCGTGGACGCACTGGCCCGGAGTTCCAACTGGTTAGGTTAATAATATAATTTTGTGATTAAAGGCCAGTGGGTGTATCTGTGTAAAGCCTATTTTCATGTCTTTGGTGTGTTGAAAAAACCATACAATTTATCTGACTCTGAATCACAATAAATAATAATAATAATAAGTCATCTTCTATAGCGCACAGTCTCCAAACACCAAGTGATTGCTCGCGGCGCTTAATCAGAATCTGATTCTTATTACCCCGGATAACCCAAGCTGCCTGTTAGGCGCTAGAAGGTTATAGTCACATGACTTTATCCCACCGGGTACCCATTTTCTGCTGGGTGAACAGAGGCAATTTGAACAAACTCACTTGCCAAGGTGAGACCACATGTGCTTCGTTGTGGGGCAGGACTGAAGTCCTAGAAACTCTCAGGAGTCAGGCTGCCAAACACGGTCACCCATCCAAGGATTGTCCGTAACTTCAACTGATTCGTGATCTGAGCTCTGTGCACAGGGCCATGCGCCACCACCACAATGCGACGAGAACAGATGTATCAGTATCATCCCTGTCGTCCCTAATCATGAGAGGGGCGGTGGGGTAGCCTAGTGGTTAAAGCGTTGGCTCGTCACGCCGAAAGCCCGGGTTCGATTCCCCAAATGGGTACAATGTGTGAAGCCCATTTCTGGTGTTCCCTGCCGTGATGTTGCTGTAATATTGCTAAAAGCGGCGTAAAACCATACTCACTCACACTACTCCTGATACTTGATACTGATCTGGAGAACTGAATCTTGTCGGAAGGGACCTTGTTTATCATGTCTACACTGTTCCTGATATATTCCACGTATTATACCTGTAAAACTCATCCATATATTCCAGTCAGGTAGGTTGCGTGATTACTGAATCCTGTTGGAAAAGGCCTTGTTTAACATGTCTACACTGTTCCTGATATGTATTATCCTGTAAAACACATCCTTGGATTCCAGTCAGGTAGTTGTCGATCTAGGTGATCGGGAGAATTTAATCTTGTTGGAAGGGACCTTGTTTATCATGTCT